TCTTTCTTTTTTTTTAAAAACCTCCATGGCCATGATAAAAAATGAATATGAAAAGCAAACATTTACATAAGCAACAAATAAGGCAGAATTATTTAGAAGGTATTACAAAGGGAGTAGGCAGTGAAGCTAACAAAGCTTTGTGTATGGTCACGAATACTTGGAGGATGACTTTCCTGTATTCATGCTTTCATTCGTTTTTTTGGTTTGCTTTTGTGGAATAAAATTATTTAATTACTATTCTTTTTGTTGGCATATGAAAGATACCCATATGAATAACGAAAATAATAAACATCTGTTTAAAATACACAATGAAAAATTACTCTCTCTCTCTCTCTCTCTGTGAATTGATATTGTACCTTACAAAGCTTTCTTGTTGCCACAACTCTAAGACAATCTCTCTGTTAACAACAAACTAATTTGTGTAAATTTGCTGTTATTGTAATAATTATATCAGTCCAACTTATAAATATGGAATATAGTTAGAGTTTTAGTATACTTTTTGTCTAGTAAGATATACTTTGTTAAGTATATCGCTGATAAGTACACTACAAGTTAACTGAAAGTATACTCACAAGTTTACAACTAGTATACTTTAGGTACACTTATAATACTTTTTGGTAAGGGATGTTAGAAATGTATGGACTGATACTATCGTAATACATTTATTTTATTTAAACATTTTAATTCATTATTTAAGTGCAGTAAGTACTGCACTTAAATTTACTTTGAGGTGTATGTTTCGGGCTAATGCTGCCTTAGATCGTTTATACTTTTAATTACATTATCTGGGGAGCTTCTTTTTTTCTGATTTGTCTGCTTTTTGTCTCCACCCAATGATTTCCTTGCTTTATATGGACACTGACCTGGATGTGGTTTTCCTTCAGGTTGGAGATGACCTTCTCCTGGTCGTCATTAAGGACCTTGTAGAGAATTGCTCGTCTCTCGCTGTCCTTCTTTAGGAGAAATAGGCCGCTGTCCCTGTCCTCGGGTGAGGGGGGAACACTGCGGTCCTCTGAAACTGAACCCTCATCTGGGACGCTGCAAAAGAGGAATTGGCTCAACAATTTACAACAGCCTGACCCTCTGATTCAGTTTACTTAAAGATACAATCCTCTCCCAGCTACTGTGTGTGCGCAGAGAGGCATGAATAAGGCTGGACCTGCAACTGATGTATGCAGCCCATGTTATAGTGGATGAGATATTAAATGTGTGCACATCCACCAGCTGAGGATCACAAAATAATCAGGCTTTATTATATTGCTGTTGTAAAAATCAGCAAAGCACAAAGAGTCCACCTGTCCTCTAAACATGCACAGAATCATTTACAGAATGGACAAGCGGGTGAATACCTGAGAGGTTGGGTCTTTAAATCTTTATACTTAAAATTTTTGCCCATCTTTACACAAGTCAGCTAACTGAGACGCATAGCCTTTCGTCTCAAGAAAAGACAAACAAACAATATCTCTCTAAAAATAGCTTTAATCTTATGTGACCTCTCTCTAAATGTATTCTGTGTCTTTCCAACCACTCTTCATTTCATGCTGGTGACTAAACCATTTCATACCGATGTATTTAACTGCTTGTATCATTATTTCTCTCCATATTCAACTAAAATTATAAATCAGACAATAAAAAGAAACAAAACCAACTAAGAAATTATTAGAAATTGCATTAATCTTCTGCAAATTGTGGTTTGTGTTAGGTAAAAAAAAAGCTATCAAACAGTCCAGACTTAGATTACTTTTAATCAATATGAAACTTTATAAGCAATGATCAAATCAAAACAATGAGAGAATACCTGCTTGCGCATGTAAATAAACTGAGGTCACATACAGACATTATTTTATGAGTAGACAGAGTAAATTAAATGAAACTACTTTGATCTGATTCTGATAGGAACTGTCTTCCAAAAGAGGCATGAAAGGATGTGGGTCGTCGGAACAAATTTTCCTATTTCTGGGATATTTTATTACTTATTTATATAACAAAACTGCAAAAATAGAAAAAGCAAAATAAACAGTCCCTAAATTATGCAGAATGGCAAATGTAAAGGATGAACTATAACACCTCGGACAGCATTATTTTTATTATAATAAAAAAACACATAATCAGCATAGAGGTTTTAAGTTTACGTGCCTTATTGTTAACATAATGCGAAGAGGTCCTGCAACACAGCCTTGAGGCATACCCTTTGTGATAAAGAAAAACCCATATTGTGGTACATTTCTACTTTTTTTGTTAATTATTATTCATTTTATTATACTTTTGTTATATATTTCCAGACTTATCTTCAGAAATAATCAATTGCTAACAGTTTTTTCAGGAATTTTGATACCATTACAAATGTTTTGTTTCTTAATTGTTTTAGTAGTAAATCTGTGCTTTGTTTCTCAGTATCTCACTGTATAGATCAACGGCACGATAAAGCACAGGAAACAATCTGCTCTCACCTTAGGTAGTTGGAGCTGGATGTTTTGAGGTTCTCGGAACCAGAGGGTTTCTTCCTCTGAAAGAAAATGTCATGTTTGGAGTCACAGTCTGGACTCACTGAGCCATGTTCACTGCTGCTGCTGCCAGCAGTTTCACCCTGCTGCTGCACTGGAATGGAAACGTTATGGATGTAGTCTGAAAACACAAGAATACAGGAGAGACAAATTTGCATAAAACAGCTATAAACGAAATGTGTATATATGTAGTAAATTGTCCCCTAATTTATTCTATACATATTTCTAAAGTAAAAATATCTGAATTTCCTACTTTTTACTTTGTGCCAACTAATGCATAAGTACATTGTGAAGAAAGGCAGAAACATTAAGATGGGAAAGGTTTCAGCTATAAGCACTGTATTTAACTGTCTGTCACCTGTTGGTTTGAAGGCAATCTTGCTTTTTTTTCCCTTTGTGTTTTGCCGTAGAAAAATATCTCTGAGCAGGTCAGCAGCGATGGCTCTCTTATTCGGATCGGGCTCAAAGCAGCGCAGGATGAAGGACTTGGCTTCTAAGGATAAAGATTCAGGAATCTCTGGGTGGATTTTAAACATTCCAACCTGCAATGAAAAGCCACATAAAAAACAACAACAACTTTAGATTAAAAGAAAAGAAAACCTTTCAAAGACATCGAATCTTTGCATTGTTCCTACCTTAAACATGGCTGCCTGTGGCTCTCCGAGCTCGTGGAATGGAGGTTTTCCAGTGGCCATTTCTATGATAGTGCATCCCAGAGACCAGATGTCAGCTGGGGCCCCGTAACCCCGAGGGCCCTTATCAATGATTTCTGGAGCCATGTACTGCAATGTACCTACAACAAAAATTGTGCAACTATCTCTAAATTACTTTTTAATCATCAATCAACCCAGCCTAAGTGTTGAAAGAGCATGTTTCCTTTAATAGAAATAAGTTTTAATTTGAGTCTAAATCTGAACAGTTTTATTGCTGATTAATGTTGCTGGGATACTTCAAAAATCACTGAGCTGAAGTGGTAATGTGTCATGCAAATTAATGTTCTTCTGATTCAAGCCATCTGTAAGAAGATGTATTTATACTTTTGTATAGTTATTCTGCAACGTACATATTTTATCCTAACAATCATATTAGAGAGTTTTTCTGTAATAATTGTGGCAGGGAATGGTAAAGCCATCGATGCTGTAAAACGTCTCTCCAGACCTTTCATAACCAAAGCTTTTATCTCCGCTCTTAGAACTAGTTTCTTTTAGAATAAAGAATATAATAGAGTGCTTTTATTGTACTGTCACTATATACATGTACTAAGAGATTCAAAGCTCCGTTTAAAAAACAAAAACAAAAAAACAACATAAAATTATAGC